GTGTTATAATTCAGTTCTAGCCAAGAAATTATTGACTCAGGGTCGGCATCATAAAATCATTGCCCAAAAAACTCAACTACACTATGGATTTGGGCACCTACAAATCGGTATAATTTGGAAAACATTCAGCTCAGAAGAAGAAAATATTCATCAAATTCCAAATCAAATTCACCCTGGGTTTCATAGTTCTGTGATCCTATCGCTTCTCACAGAAATTTGTCTCCCGAAAAACTAAAAGTACAGAAATAAATGGTTTTGATTGCCTACAGCGGCGTAAAATACAGGGTTTCCTAACTACGGTACAAAACTTCAGAGGGTGATTCGTTAGGTCATTTAATAAATAAGTTCTCATGAACAAATGTCCGGGGTTGCTTCGCTTTTGAAATACAGGGCGTTGAAATTTTATAAAATGTCATAAATATCCTTATACCGATTTGGTTTGAATTTTCTACCAGAACAGATATCGTGAGAGAATAATTCCATATGCTGAAACATTTAGAACGCTCAATGCAAGATTATGTGGGAGATTTAATAAAAATGCAAGTGGTAGAAGACTAGAAACTGGAACAACGGCAGAGCTAGATGAAGCTATACGTGATGCGATAGAAGATCCTTCAAATATCACCGGGGAGATTGCACTGAAGCTGGAATTCAGTCTAAAATCCGTATGGACAATTCTAAAAACGGACCTGCTACATTTACATCACATACGGTGGATCCAAACTCTACTGCTTCAGGATTGTCACCCAAGACTAATGTTTTGCAGGTGGTGATTCATACGATAGCACACAATAATTATGTTTTACCAAATATTTCAATTACAGACGAAGCTAATTTTTCACGAGATGCTATTATGAACTCTCACAATGAACAGCTTCAGCTCATTTCAGTGTTCTTGCTCGTCACCATCTCGAAATTACCTTCCCTAATCGCTGGATTGGACGTGCAGGACCTAAAAATTGGCCAGCTCGCGGTCCTGATATGAATCCTCTAGATTTATAGTCACGGGGTTATCTGAAGACTTTCGTTACTAACTCCTGTACCCGATGTGATTGACTTGAGGAATCAAATAATTGACAATTGCAATGTCATAAGGAATACTCCAGGTATTTTTGAACGTATCAGACAAGCAATAATAAATCGATTGCAGTCGTATTCATTAGTTACTATTGGTTTTAATTACATGTTGTCCATGGATAGTTTTTTAAAAAGAAGCTTGATATTTAGAAAGGGACCACCTATGAATTACGTCACACGAATTTTAGAACTTTCAGACCCCCCGTTCCTGTCACAGGTTGTCACATTTTTTGACCTCACCCATATGCATGTATTTAAAAATAATATAATCAAAAGAAAACAGTTATTTTATTTTTTTTTCTCATTATTATTGAATAATCTTCAATAAATTCAACATAAAATCAAATATTTCTGATAACAGAAAGAACAAATGATTAGTTAAAAAACAATAAGCTACTTATCATGTTAATTGAAGATGGGAAACTTAATCATCTTGTGTCCACGGGCTTTGGACCAATCCTTTATATTAGCTATTACTGTCAAATCAGGCACTTCATTTTCGTTCGAAGTTTGAATATAGATCAAGTTTGAAAAATTTTCTGAATTTTTTATTCACATATGAATTTCACGTTTTGGTATTTCAAATTTCACAAAGCTTTTGACCCCCCAGGACGTTTCGATTGTTAGTATCCACAATCGTCTTCAGGTGATATCTGGACTTATTCCAGAGTCGACATCTGACTATTTATAGGTCATTCGAGTGCTTTCGCATATCCCCTCTTCACTCTTTCCACTTCATTGGTTTTAGCGGAAGATGACCATTTGGCGGGGATTGGTCGTTTTTCGCTTGATAAGAGATTTCCATATGTTACGTATCTCTACGCTAGCTTGACTAAATGCGTTGTTGGACAACATATACGCGGCTTCTTTGAATTTTCTCCTAAACCAGCGTTCCTCTTTGTGGATGATTTCAGCTTGAGCCCACTTGATGTTTGGTTGATGAGTCTTCTCTGTATGATTTGAAGTTCTTCTTCGACAGAAACGTTGGTGTAGAGGCTTTTCACGTCGAAACTGATCAGTTGATCTTGCTCTTTGACTTTGATTTCCCCTAGTAGTTCAACGAAATGCCTTGAATTTTTCACAAAAGATGATGTTTCACCTTGCCGTGGTTTGATTATAATAATAAAATTGTTAATAACATTGTTAGTTTTGGTAAATCTTCTCAAATTTTTTCAGGGATTTCAAATCTATTCATTTTATATTAGACAATGGAAGTCCGAACTGATGAAATACACCTTTTCATCCCCTCCATTAACGTGTGACGTAATTTGTGGATGGCCCCTAAAACACAAGCGACGAAAAAGTCGCTTTATCTAAAAGAATAAAAATCTACAAAGGAAGTCAGTGACGTTCTTTTTTTCTCGATATTGTTGACTGTAACGGCCGAATTCATCTGAAAATTTCAATCTAGTTTCGGCAAAATGAGCCTCTTATTAATGAAATCACTGTAGCAAATTTGAACCGAATCGGTCGGTGTCAGGATGTTTATGTTATTTTATAACAAACCGTAATCGGTCGTAACAAATAAAATACTTAGTAGAAATCAAGCAAAAGTTGTTTTCTTCATCCTTTCCTTATTCAATATGAAATTCTACAAAATAATGTGGTTATCAATCGAACAAATGTGCAGAATGTTGCATTCAACATGATCCTCGGTATTGGGTATTGTTACAATGCACACCCTGTATGGAAAAATTGTTTGCGCAACTAAAAATCTGCTTTCGTGAGTGTTTTTTTCTAATTTGCACTCACTTCATTTATTTTTTCCATTTAGCTGAAACGCACTGTACATAATGGATATTGATTCGTTCTTTGTGGAATCTGCAGTCACTTTTGCAGTGATCCATATAAATAGATGGGAGCAATCAGAATGAGTGGCGCCAGAAAAGGGGGCGACATTCAGACGCAATCGAATGAGGTTGACCGTGCCAAATAATATACTGGATGTTAAAATAGTCTGTTTTTGAATATTTACGAATTCTATGTATTTAGTTTGCCAACTGAAGACAAATTGCAGAATTGATATCTAAATATCCGAATAAAAAAAGAATTAAGATTTTGGCTCGAGAGAAAATGCAAAAATATATTGGAAAACTAGAGACAGGAAGCCTGTATCGAAGGAAATTGCTTCTTTGCCGCTCACTGAATATCCTTCTAATATTCCACATTATTTGAAATCGCGACAAAGTCATTTTTCTCCGATGAAGTTTGGGTTAGGTTAGGACTGGAGAGAGTGGGTCTATTTGACCCTTCACCGCAACCCGCAAGGGTTTACTGTGGCTTACACCTATTCATACTCGACCAAATAAACCCAGCTTTTTAACGAACCCGATTAGTTTGTATGGTGAGTGGTCTTTCAGGTCGTATTGTGAGAGTACGGGTCTGCCGAACTCTAAAAACCTAATTTGGTCCCCAGCGGGACAGGCACAAAGTATATGCTCTGCTGTTTCATCATTTTCCGAACAGAGGCGACACACATTGTCTTCCGACAGTCCGAGTCTCTGCAAATGACAGTGACCTATAAGAAGGCCTGTTAGACATCGTAGTTCATCCCTACTATACTCCACAACTGTTTGGTATCAAGCTTCGAAAGATGGATAAACGTCTGGGAGTGAGCCAATCCTGGGAGATTCTGCCAGAAATCCATAAATCTTTTTGCCATCCAGGTGTTCAATGTTTGTTTGGTAAAGCCTGAAGCGATGCTAATGGCAGGTTCTGGTTCGATGAAGCTGCTTGCAGCACCCTCCTTTGCAAGGGAGTCTGCAGCTTCATTGCCTTCCAGGCCAGTATGGCCAGGAATCCACACCAGAGACAATCTTTTAAGTCTTCCTATAGAAGAGAGTCGTTTTTGGCAATTTGCTTCCAATTTAGACGTTGCTCTGTAAGAGCCAAGAGCTTCAACGCCGCATGACTGTCCGAGAATATTTTTATTGACTTGTGTATGAGGTTGGATTCTTTCAATCTCTCCGCACACACTTCAATAGCGTAAATTTCCGCTTGAAGTACAGTCGCATAGGTTCCTAGGCAGGTAGATATCTCTGTCCTGGGTCTGCGACTAAAAACAGCTGCACCAGAACCGGAAGGTATTCTTGATCCATCTGTGAACCAACAACTATCCAAGAACAGTACTTTATAAGGCAGTTCATAGTTGACAGTTGGAGGCATAAAATTAACTATATTTCAGTTTTGCTCCTCAAAATAAAGAACTCATTATTGAAGAATTACAAATGTTCCCCAAAGACTATTGCTCATCACTCAAAGCTTGTGAATCAAATACTATCTTGATCAAAGAATGTGATCATTCACTTGGCCTATACTTGACTCTAATGCCATGTTGCTATCAATGCACGTACCAAGATTGTCTGATGATTCATTATTCTCTTTCTCTTACTACAAGTGTGCTAATTTTTTCAGTCGTTCTATAGTAAAACTCCATCACTACTGTTTTGCTTGAATTCACAACTAATAAATTTTTTCTGCACCAGGTTGTGAGATCAAACGACAATAACTTGAACTTTTCTTGAAGTTTCTTGGGGCTATCAGCATCAATTGCTGAAATTGTTTCATCCGCATATAAGACAATACAATTTGTGTTTATATAAGTCGGCATATCATTAATATGTAGTAAAAGAATAAGTGGCCCCAAAATAGAGCCTTGAGGAACAACTAGGTCCATGCCATACGATTGAGAGTAACAGTTATCGATTTTAACATGTGTAGTATGGATGTACCGCACTAAATGATTCGGAAAATCACTCGAACAATTCGAATCAATCATATGATTCACTTTATGAAGTTCTTAAAGCAATATCAGTGGCCGGGTATACTTTGAAAATCACTCATTACTGTCCTGCAAGCGTGGCCCACTTAGTCCGCACCGTCTGCAGCCGCTCCCCAACATTTTCTTGTACTACGTGATTTTTGCACCCACCACAACTGAAATCTATTCGAAGCGCAGTTGTCTAGAGAACCCACGGCAGAAGATTGCTTGAGCTTGTCCAACCGGTAGATTCAAAATGGCTAAAATTGTGATTTTGTTTGTTTGCGTCGCTGTTATGCAAGTGGGTGAGTACATAATTGATTTCATTTTTCATTTGCTTTTTATGAAATCTCGCGCTGAAAATTTTCTCACAGGTGATCCCAAAATTCACGGATTTCCTAGCAACCCACTACTAGTTCTTAAATTATCACAATCAATTGAAGTGCAATTTCAAAATTTTTCAGAAATGTCTACGAGTTTTTTTTTCAAAAGTATATATCGAAAAAGATGACATTGTAGAAAAATACTAGGTACTACAAATACTTCAGTAAAACTATGTCGAATTCTTCTGCCTACGCTTTTGTTTCGTTGAACATATTTTTCCTAGAAGGGTTTTTTGTTTTTGGGTTCAAAATTTCAAATCACTTGTAGATGCAGGGTGCCTATTTTTTCAGTTCCATCTTTCACATTTGTAGTGAGATAAACATTTTTATATTTATGTCTAACCTGTCATCATCTTTTTTGATCTTCACATCTTCCAATAAGCAAATTTGATAAAAATAATACTGAATTCCCTATTAGTCCGGTCAATCAGTTAGATTGTTTAAAGTATGATTTAAAATAAAATTCGAAAGTTTTCCATCTTTTCCCTGTGTGGAAAACATTTTATTCAAGATCAAAGGTCAAAAAAATTAGTTTTTAGCGATATTCAGCAAAACGGTAAGTTTTATCACAAAATTACTTCAGACAACTTTTTGAATCGTTGTATCTCAAAAAGGAAGGCTCGTAGGAAAAAAAATATTGATAAATTTTTTGTAGACAATTTCATGATATTCAATTTTTGTCTGAAGTATTTTTATGATAAATCTCACAGTTTTGCTGAAAATCGCGAAAATCTCATTTTTTGACCTTTGACCTTGAATAAAAATTTTTCCGTTAAGGGGAAGAATAGGGAATTTTCAAATTCAATTTTTCAATCATATTTTGAAGAATCTCACTGATTTTCAGATTGGTGGGAATTTGGGTAGCTTCACTCGTATTTTGTGGTCTAATTTGACCGGACTACTATTCTTCAATGAAACTTCATTCATCTTTCAGCTCATGATGGTTAATCTCCTCTTTGATAAAACCCCTCTGAATATGAAGTTTTTCTTTAGAATCGTGAAGTATGGATTCCAGAATCCTCAAAAGATGTTAGTTATGAATATGTTTTCGTTAAAACTAATTCAATTAGATAGGAAATTGCTGAAAAAATATATTTCATGGACTTTGCCCCTGTAAATTTTGGAAACTAAAAAAGTTTGAACAAAATTGATTGCGCTTTTCCTTTATCACTTCTTCCAACTCTGCTTCTTCCTGAATCTCCGTTACAGGAGTTTATGGAAAGACATGCGAATGTTGAAATTACTCCAATTACAGACACCGCCGTGAAATGCAGAATCAACCAGTTTTTTTGCCGAATGATCAAGCTTTCTTGATATTTGAATTCGTCACAGTTCAAAAAAAGTATATATAGAGATCAACAAATCGAACTGATAAATATTTTTCAACACTGACACATAAAAGAGAAAGAAGATACAGTCGAATTCATTACAAACGATACTATTCATGAATAACAGTTTGTGGATAACGGAAACACAGAAAGATTCGATTATTTACATAAGTTCAAGCGTCGATGACAGAACGATCTAGAAATAGAATGAAAGTAACGTGAATAGTGTTTCTTTCGAGGTCTACATTCGTGTTGAAGAGGTATTTTTTTCAACGTGGTCCATGATTTGTGTGGTTTATATTATCGTCATTGAAAAGTTCAATGGCAAGACAAACTATTGCTATAAGGAATATACTGACAAAAAATCGATTTGAAAATCGTCAGTTGTTACTTCGTCAAAATCAACGTTGGTTTCAAACAGTGAATGAAATAATTTTCAGTCGATATTTTTATAGATTTATCGATTTTTTTCATAGAAATTACATTTATACAGTGTCATCCCTAAAGTATGCACCATATGGGTATTTATTAAGGGTTTTTCGACAAAAAGTTATTGTTGATGAAAGTGTGTACATCCCCTTAAACTAAACATGCACCAACAAAAAAAAAGTAAAACACACACAGGAGCTTTCAAATATTTGATTTTGAGACAGGAGTGAAGTACTTTCATTTTGAAAAATCTCGGAGAAAGTTAATCCAGCATTCATCATTAAAGATTGTGCCTCAGCTCTGGCTGAACCACTAAAAACTCTAATTAATATATAGCCACATCTGGTGTACCACAAAGATCAAATCTAGGACCCCTACTATCCAATATGTTCATTAATGATATAGAAGCTGAGATTGATGTCAATTTCCTTTTATACGCAGATGACTTGAAACTCCATATATAATATAACTCTAATGAGTGCGAACGTCTCGCCCTGAATTCAAATCGCGTTGCTACAAGGTGTCGAAAGAATAATCTATCTCTCAACATATTCAAATGTAATGTAGTGTCTTACTCACTGAAAACCAACCTGAATTTACACAACTACGTCATAAACAATCATGTTCTGGAGCGTCCTGACACACGCACTAATCTAAGTTTTACTTTTGAAATACAAAAGACTTCGAAAAAGCTGCAACATTGAAATTACTTTATTTCACTTTTGTTCGATCAAAAAAATAAAACTCCACTTAGATGGCCATGACTTCAAATCTAGATGTATTTTTCAATGCTGAACAACTTTTCTAAACAACATTTTCAGAGATTTTCCATAATGAGAGTATTTTACTCTTGTCTCAAAATGAAATATTTGAAGGCTCCTCGTATATTACGTGGGTTTTACTGTATTATGTTGGTGCATGTTTAGTTTTAGGGGATGCACAAACTTTTATCAAGAAAAACCCTTAATGAAGAAGTTTCCCATATGGTGCATACTTTGGGGATAACACTGTATATGAAATTTTTGAATGGTTCTTTGAACTGTCTTCATGAAAAACATAGGTTTCTGACAATGTAAAATATTTGAAAAGTGTACAAGAATTTGAGTGACGAGTAATCTGACAAAACTTCAGTGTCGGATTTATCGGGAATATATAAGTTTGCTTGTGGTTCTTACTCAAAACTTCATATTGGCCAAACTGGGAGAACATTAATTAGAGAGCATAGAAGTTCTTTGTTGAATGGAAATACCAATTCTACATTTGCAAAGTATCTTCTATCAGAATGTCATGAGTTCAATCATGACCACATTTTCAAGAGAAAAATTTGAAACCTAATCGTTTATAAAGTTTGGAAATGAAGGAATGAACCATATCCTCAAATATTTGGAAGGCCTTAACATCAACCCTCTTTTTATTATATATCAACGACTCATTGGAAAAAAAACAAGAATTTTTCAAAGCAGTTTATCAGTTTTCATTCAAATATCCAAAGTTATGGCTCAAAAATGAACAGATAGTAAATCAAGAAAATAAAAATGCACCTCTTTGAAAATTCAAATCCACAATCAGATGATTCTAATGTTCAAGTTTATAACAATGAAGGTAGCAAGTGACATCATCCTTTCAAAATTACTATGTTGTTGTTGTCAGTTAGTTCTATAACTACCGAAGTCCATTGTGGAATGAAACATTTGTTTCGATTTAGGAAGCAGTAGTTGGCCATGAAACTGGCAATTTCATTCATTGTTTCCTCAAGAGCAAACCTCTATTTGATGATGTTGTTCATTAACAATTGATCCAGCATTTTAATAATTTTTCTCGGTTGATTCTTGGCCATAGTTTAATTTTTTTTCTTGAATAATTTAGACGATCTGTGCTAATTATTCATATTGTGTTGACTGAGTAATAATCGCTTTTGAAATATGACCTCACAATATATGCTGAATTTTGTGAAGAATCCTCTTGAGTTATTTTTGAATCTGACTCGTAGCATTGACTGATAAACTCAAAATATGTTTGTTGCTTCACAATTCAACTTATAAAAATACTTGCTCGTTAGTCACGAATAATAACTATACACGGTGAACTTGAACATGGTAATATGGTAATATCTTTACTGACCTCACATCTGCAAAACAGATGTAGTTGTGTGATGTTTAGGTTTCGATAACTCAAGTAGGTACTTCACGTAGCACCATATTTATAATTTGTTTCATCATTACCATTATTTCATTTTACTGAAAGTGAACAAAAGTTTCACTCTAGCGTTCGTTAATTTTGATTTCCTTGTTGATAAAGAAATGTTCTGGCTGTCTACTTCTCTAAATAACGATGCGTAAAAGTTATACTCAGACACAAAATGGAAAAAAAGCCTTTCCTCAAACAACTACTTGCTCATGAACATTGAATAACACAGAAGTAATTTCATTCATTTAATATTTTGTTTATTCAATATTTTAAGAAGGAGAAGGAATCGCTTCAAAACCACTTCACTAACTTTTTTCGAAAGCTTCTGATAATTCCTCTTCCATATTCTCTGTTTCACTGTCACTGCCGTCATTTAAATCAATAATGAATTTATTTCCACCAATAAAATGGAATTGTCCAATCTCCATATAGTCTTTTTCAACTGAAATCAATTTTTTAATCTTTTTCTGCCAGTCTTTTTCGGTAATACTAGATACTTCTTCTTCAATTAGCTCTATTACCTTCTCATTAAATTTTGGAAAATCATTCTTACGACTGATGCTTTGTTTCAATTTTCCCAAATCAACTCGATGGGATTTGAATTTACATCCAAATTTGGGATCAATGTGCTCTCAAACCATTCCCCGAAAATACTATCTTCCATGTTCTTGTGATAGTCAACATTGCAGTCCCCAAGTTTTTTTTCCACATAATTTCGAAGAATTCTGAACCCGTCCTTCACTTCCGCCGCAATGCACAATGATTAGTCGCGATCCTTCGTTTGCAGGCATGTTAGGCGTACACATTCTCGAACCAACAGTCCACCCTTTTGTAACTGTGTCGTGAGTATCGATAACAAGATTCGTCCAAATAGAAAATGTGCTGTTGTTCTTGTCTATATTTAGTTATTTGTTCTAAGTATTTGTTACGCAATTCCATTATTCTTCTGCTTTCCATAACTGCTTGTTCATTATTTTC